CTCATCCAACACCGACTCATCGAGTCCAGCAGCCGACTCGGCGAGTCAGGCCACTTAATCACGTGCTCGGTACTCACTTCGACTCGGAGATTCAAGAGACCTACTCGCCCAATCCCTTCCTTTATTTTCATATAGCACCCTTCAACTTCTTGCTTCTAAACTTGAGATGTTACATGTTGTTATTATAGACTAAATAGATAAATTATAATGGATAAGTAACTCAAAGTATGTTGTTACTATGAGTATGTTGATATAATTGAAAAAAGTATAATATGTTGTTATTATGAATACATTGATTGCTATAATAGATAACAAAAAGTCAAAGTATGTTGTTCAAATGAGTACATTGCTATGTAAGACAAAAATTATTGTATGTTTTTATTATGATTAAATTAATTGTTACAATGGATAAAAAAATCAACGTACATTAGTATTATGAGTATCTTCCTATAACGGACAAAAAGTATAATATGTTATTATTATTGATTAAATTGATAAATATATTGTATAAATAACTCAAAGTATTTTGTTACTGTGAGTATTTTCTATAATGGAGAAAAAGTATAATATGTTGTATTATGAGTACATTGCTACAATGGGTAAAAAGTATAGTATGTTGTTATTATGAGTATATTTAGTGCTATAATGCATAATAAATCCAAAATATATTGTTATTATCAATATGTTGCAATAATGGACAAAAAGTGTAGTATGTTGTTAGTGTGAGTACATTCAATAATAGAAAAAAAGTATATTATGTTGTTATTATGAGTAAGGTGTATGCTATAATGGATAAGAAAAAGTCAAAGTATGTTTTTATTATGAGTAGATTACTATATAAGCTAAAAATTATAATATGTTTTTATTATGGATTAAATTAATTGCTACAACGGATAAAAAAATCAAAGTATGTTGATATTATGAGTATGCTGCTATAATGGGCAAAAAGTATAGTATTTTGCAATTATGGATTAAATTGATAAAAATTATTGATTATATGTTAAAGTATGTTGTTACTATGAGTATGTTTCTGTAATGGACACCAAATTATAATATTTTGTTATTATTAGTACATTGATTGCTATAACTGACAAAAAAAATGTCAGAGTATGCTGTTATTATGAAAGTTTAGTTTGTTGTTATTATAAGTACATTGATTACTATAGTGCATAAAAATTGAAAGTATATTCTTGTTATCAATACGTTGCAATAATGGAGAAAACATATAGTATGTTGTTAGTGTGAGTACATTCATTGCTATAATGGATAAAAAAAAGTCAATATGTTATTATTATGAGTACATTTCTATCATTCAGGCAAAAAAAAAAAAGAAAGATAATATGTTGTTACGATGACTTATGAGTACGTTGAATGTTGTAATGGATAAAAAAAAGTCAAAGCATGTTGTTATTATGAGTACATTGCTATATAATTTAAAAGTATAGTATGTTGTTATTATGGATTAAACTGATAACATGTCCGTATAACAAACTAAAGTATATTGCTATAACGGTTTAAAAAACATAGTAGATTTACTAACCATATACATGTCTGTTTTGCCATTTTTTTAGGTAGAAAGGTTGCATAGAGAAATTGTTAGCATGCAAGAAACTGAAGCGCAAAGGGAGAGTGTGTAGCGTAAAGGGACTCGAAAATGGCAGATATGTGATAAAGGCAAGCATTACTTGAAAACCAAATGACGATATTTTTCAACAAAAAAACAATCCTCCCGGATATCTACCAAATGAAAATTAGTTTTATGTTTCTAATCTAAAACAATTGGTAATTGTATTTTGACAAAAGATTGTATTTTGTTTGACACTTTTTATTTGGATATTTAATTAGTTTTGTTGGACTATTATTAGTTGTTTAATTTATTTGTTTTTCTGCATTTGTGTGAAAAAATAACTGGATTTTTTTTTACTAATTTAAAAAGCATTTTACAGGCAGAATAGTGACGGAAACATGTCATGAAAAGCCCATAAGAATCTGGCGGTAATCCGTCACTAAGACTATCCTTCGGTAATTTGTGCTAAAACTATCTGTCAGAAATCCGTAGCTAAAGGTATCTAATGGTAATCTGTAGCTAAAAGTATATGTCGGTAATCTGTCGTAAGGTTGTCAATAATTTAGTCAAACAAGGTAAGAGTGAGTTCATCGGAAATCCGTCATAAATTGTATCCGAAATTCTTTACTTGCGGCCATTTTTATGACCAACCTGATGATTCTTGATGATTGTGTCAGAAATGGGTTTCACAGAGGAATAAGGTCCTCGTTGCTATTCCGTTTTTCTACCAGTGATGCTTCATGGATTACTTGTTTCCAATAAACACATTAACTTGATAAAATTTAATATCAACAATAAAATATGGTTTACACATTATGCTAAATTAGATGTCACTAAGATATAATTAGACTTTAATATTAACTGACAATTGGTAATTTTGATGTTATGTTTAAGTCATTGGACCAAATAAAAATAAAATTTGGTTAAATTTGATATTGAAATTAATTAAACATTAAATTTTAAAAATTGTTTGAGTTGTTATTAAATAAATCCAAAGGTTAATTGGATGATGATCCGTATAATGAAATTTAAGTATAATATTCATAAATATTGTATTTCTATCTAAAATGATTGCAATATTTATGTGACATAATATAATATTTAAGACGTGATATTTATATTCAATTGTTGGTCAAGCTAAAACGAAAACAATAATTGGATAAACTAACATAGCATAATATTTAGGTCGCTATATAATACCTATGATTTTTGTGATAAACAGTAGTTATATTGATATGTTTTATTTTGTTCTCATAAGTCAATTAAGTATCGCTTTAAATTCGTTAAGATCACAAATGATAGCTCTAATAAAGTCCAACAAACTAGTAAAAATACTAAAGGAACAACTAAGCCTTAATGCCAACCTCTTTGCAGATTCTTCCATAACAAATGGCATACTTAGAGATTACCCTAAACTGAAAGAATGTCAAATCATGTACACACCATTACAATGCCCTCGTATTCAAGGAAAAAAAATATTTAATCACATGGTAGAAAAACTATCATGTTGAATGTAGGCCTATTGCGTCCGGAAGAAGATGCCTCATGCATATCCATTCATATTTGTTTTTCTAACTTATTATATGGCCTATGCTCCCCGTCATATTCACATGTTAACTGTCTGTATATATTTAGAGAGTTGGCCCCGTTGGGCACTCAAAACTATGATGACCAGAAGCATATCAACCATTGCTTATGTGTTTTTTATATACATAAGTGAACCACATCATGATTTTTTATCAACTTCGTTAACAATACACTCCAACCCAAAATAAATGGTAAACTTGGATATATTTAATTATTATTTTATAGTAACAAGGAATAATGATTTAAAAGAGTAATGTATTTTTTGATTTGTATACATTTAAACACTGATGGTTTTTTTCGTCCACATTACCCCTCAACTTGTTAAACTGTACATATTCAGTCCTTAATACTGGTTACGTTAAGTTAGCTCGGAAAAATAATTTAATAGGATAATATATTTATCATTGTGTACAGATTTAGTCCTCATTATTTTTATACATATTTAGTCTTTAATATTTTTTTTATTTCAAAATAAATATTTTTTTTTATTCATTCAGTGCTTATGAATGATTTCTTTATATTTTTCTCACGACATCTTACGTGAAACAATCATTGATGAGGTGTTTGGGGTTGTTGCGTAGGTCTTGTGGTTTGATTTAGGTCTTTTGTTCTGAACGTTGTAACTTCTTCATATGATATCAGATTTTAACGATCTTTATATCCACGTGTTCATTTTTTAGTCAACTACAGCTTTCGTCAAAATTACTCCCGTTAAAATGTAAAATATTTTTAATCAAGATTTTATAAAAAAAAAAAAATAAACATTCATACATACATTCATAAAAAAATGTGTAGTATATAAAAATTGTAAGTGAAAATATATTAGTTTTTAAGAGAGTAATCTAAATGAAAGTTGTAGTAGATTAAAATATACACCTATGGATATAAAGATCGTTAAAAATGAAGATCGTATGAAGAAGTTATAACGTTCAGAACATATAGCTTAAGAAACCAAGTAGTCGAGATCACGATAGACATAAACATCAAAAGATTCAAACACCTCATTAATGATTGTCTCACGTAAAATATGATGAGAAAAACCTTAATAATTCATTCATAACTACTGAATGAGTATAAAAACAAATGTTTTATTTTGTAAAAAAAAAAATAATAAATAATAAAAAATATTAAAGATTAAATGTGGACAAAAATATTAAGGATTAAATGTGTAAAAAACGAGAAATATATTACCCTATTAACTTATTTTTATCTGTTAATTTGCAGTAGTCGGTGATAAGTAATGAATATATACAGTTTAACAAGTTTAATAGAAAAATGTGGACGAAAAAACTTAATACATAAATGTATACAAAAGTCCAAAAATTTATTACTCTTAGTAAGTCATTATCTTGAATAATATACTATAATTAATGACTAACCACCAATGAAGAAATGATGTCACATGTTCCTCAATAAAAAGCTAACTTCTAGATCGTGCAAAGCCCCCTACGACCATCTCTTTTACTTTTTTTTTCTTTAATTTTATTTATAATATTTTAATGCTCATGCTCAATAATGTGAATGGTCTCCTAGCAGATTCCTTCGCTGATCAAAAATCAATAATTAATGTGTTGGAATATTATCCCTCCCAAAAAGAATATACAAATCCTTTTCCATGATAGCCTCTAAATACATATCCATCTCCTAGTTTGACTTATTAGTGGAAATTTACATTCGGAAATGTCATACGAGCTTCCTCTCAAAGGCTTTGTCATGTTCTTTAAATCATGAAAAAAAAACTTCATCTTTGTACATCAACTTTATTAAAACAAAGTAAATTCTAAACAAAAAAGAAAATAACCCCCCCCCCCCCCCCCCCCCAAAAAAAAAAAAAAAAAATATAAACATGAAGCCAGTGTACCAGCTGCGGTTGTCCTACTTGGCGGCCACCGTGCTGGTAGTGGTGGTGATCATAAACATGGCGGAGCAAGTGACATCACAGCCAACTGACATAAATAGCACAATCATGGGATATTATTGTAGTCAATACAAAGGTATGAACGGAAACTATTTCTTGAGCAACCTTAACACCACCATTTCTAGCCTTCGCCAGCAGATATCCGTCACCAAGTTTGCTGCAGCTCGCACTTTGTTCAACGGCGAGTCTGTATGGGGCCTCGCATGGTGTAGAGGATATCTTTCCATCCCAGATTGTCTGGTTTGTTTCGACTATGCTGTTAATGCTCTAAAAGCATGTGGCCTTGGTAATGGTGCTCATGTTTTTTACAGTGACTGCGATGTCAGGTGCATGTTTTTTTTTTTCAATTTTCTTCTTACTTGTTCCCTAAAATCTATTAACTATTACTATTAACTTTACGTAATTGAATGCATAAAAGGACATGTGTATCTTGTAAGCATAGTAGACTAATTTCATGGATCGAAAGATATATATGTTTCATGCTAATTTGGTTTGTTTTGATATAGATATGAGAACAATGATTTCTACACCGAGGCTAATAGTCGAGCTGGTGTTGTACGATGTGATGGCACACCATCACCACAGACAACGGTGTTCAGAAAAGCAGCAGAAAAGCTGCTATTAGACCTTCAAATTGCTGCTCCAAGAACACCCGATTACTATGCGCTTTCTACAAGGAAAGAAGATGGTGGTAATGCTACAGTGTATGCTATTGCTCAGTGTAACCTGAAAGTAAGCCAGAGTGTTTGTCTAGAATGCTTGCAGTTGAGATCCAAGTCTCTATATGATTGTCTTCCTACTACTTCAGCTGGTCGAGCAATGGACAATGGATGCTTCATGAGGTACTCCAGGACGCCATTTTTTGGACAAAACCAGACAACTGATATTTCATCTTTCCTTGGGGATGATGGTGAGAATGAGACCTTTAATCTTTTAGAAATCGAAACATTTTAATTCCATTGACCACTGGTACTTTGTTCATGAGTTGTGTAGTTTGTTACAGTTAGAATGATTAATTATATTTCGAAATCTATGCTTTATGTACAGGAGATTCAAACAAGAAGAGATACATAATCGGGGGAGTTGTAGGAGGTGTATGTTGTTTGTTGCTTATACTTGCATTTTTCTTATGGTGTGGCAGATCCAAAAAGAAAGGTAGAGGCCAACGAGGTAAAGACAAGATTCAACTTCTTAACATATATATGAACTTTTATTTTAGCTTCTTTCTTTACAATCCTAATGTGTTTCTATATTCAAATATTTTGGTTTCAAATTGCTAGATATGTCAACTGGATCAACTGATTTCCTTCAAGGCCCATCTACATATAGCTACAGTGATTTAAAGGAAGCCACTGATAATTTCAGTGATGAGAACAAACTTGGAGGAGGGTTATTTGGAGAAGTATACAAGGTAATATATCTTTCAAGATCATTATTTGGATTTACAGTATATTCGTTTATTTACTAACAATTGACGATTTTTGTATGATGCATGGCATGATGCAGGGAACTCTCAAGGGTGGAGATGCAGTTGCAATTAAGAAAACATTTATGGCATCCAGTAGCGGAATGACAAACTTCAATAATGAACTTAAGATCATAAGTAACGTACATCACAAACATATTGTACGTGTTCTTGGATATTGTACAAAAGGCCCCAACTTATTTCTTATCTATGAGTACATGGAAAATGGAAGCCTTGATCAATACCTATATGGTGAGTTGTAAAATTTTACGTGGTTTTGTGCGCTTGGATTACCAAATATTCACTATCTCTATATTAGTAAACTTATTTTTACTTAATGACAGGTGATAAAAGAAGGATTCTGAACTGGAAACAAAGGTTTGACATAATCTTTGGGATAGCAAGGGGTCTTGCTTATCTACATGAACAGTATCATGTTACCCTAATCCATAGAGATATAAAAACCAGCAACATTCTACTTGACAATGAATTTCAGCCAAAAATAGCGGATTGTGGTCTGATAAGACTACTACCAGATGATAAGACTCATGTCAGCACCAAATTCGCAGGGTCCTTGTATGTTTAAATTAATACATATGATTTAACTAATAGAAACATAACATTCTCTTGATTAAAAGACATGTGTTTGTAATATGAATTGTTATATCTTACCAGGAATAGTGGTTATGTAGCACCAGAATATGCCATTCATGGGAGATTATCAGAGAAAGTTGATACGTACAGTTTTGGTATAGTGGTCCTCGAAATCATTAGTGGAAAGAGGTATATGGATGTCATAGACGATCAATCAGTCACTCGAAACCTCCTTGATCATGTACGTATCTCAAAATTAATGGTTTTGTCATTTAAAAACATTCATATTAATTTATGGTATATTGGTCCATTCCATGAGGTAATAATATGTGTATGCATGGAGAATTTAAACTTGATTTTGTTCTCACTAGCCTTTATGATGTTATAATGTGTATTATAGGCATGGAATCTATTTGAGAGTGGCACACAAATAAATTTAATGGATAACAAACTAGACCCTAGTGAATATGAAACGGAAGATGCAATGAAAATCATCGAGATAGCATTATTGTGTACTCAACCAACAGTTACAACTAGACCTGCGATGTCTGAAGTGGTCACACTTTTAAGTGAGAAAACACTAGAGGAAAGAGAAAGACCACCAATAAGGCCTACCATTACCGAAGATGAGGTAAAAATTCAACTGGTTACAACCGAATCCTCGGCCTCGAATGCCACTGCCTCCATTGTTCATCTTTCAGGCCGTTAAATTTGCAATCTGAGAAAGGTTTTTTGTTTTTAAGGGTTGTATGAATAAATGCAATAGAATTATCACAAACTCGCATTCGTGCCTTGTCTTGGTGATCTTTTATATTTTATCTCTTATCTATTGTCTAATATAAAATTATCAAGTATATTTTCTTTTATTTATTATCTAATATAAATTTATCAAAAACACTGTGCGATGTCTTTTGAAACCGCAAGACTTTTCAATTTTTATTTTAATTAATATATTAAATCTATTATTATTTTAATTTCATAATCAACTCATAATTTTTAATATAAATTATTTAATTTAATAATTTAAATACGATTTAAATTCAAATTATAAATTTAATGTACTTAATTTATTAAACACCATTCATAAATATTAATATAATAAATTTAGGTTGGTGTTAAATTTAGAACATAAATAAAAAATCTGAAACAAATATTTAAAAACTATGTTTTCTAAATAGGTAAAAAGTTTAAATATAAAACTTAAATCAAAATGATAAATAAACAAACATAAAGAATATTTCGTTGAAATGATATGCTTATAAAATGTGTGTACACTACAAGAAATAAGGCCTATATAGATGACATATATGTAGACAACATCTAGCGTTGTTATTTTTTCATTATACCAATGATATGTTGTCGGTATAGAGTTGTCTAAAAGTTTTTAACCAGAGAAATATATAGAGACAATAAGTCGTAGGTGTACCTTAGGCAAGAAGAAAAGGATTTAAATGGTTTCCTCAGAACTTTTGAAGATGATAAGTTGTCGGTATAGCTTATGCAAAATATAGTTTGTAACACCTATAAAAATTCATGAAAAATTTTAACTTTTTAAACCAACCAGAACTCATATTTATTTACAACATAGTTTTCAAAATATGTTTAATATCAAATTTTTCCCAAAATCATAACAAAAACATGATGATGTGCATGATCAAGCCTTCGCCTTCCCGCGATCATCTGAGGTATCTGAAACATAACCTAAAAATGTAAGCCAAAAGCTTAGTGAGGTACCCCCAAAATACCACCACACAAAACAAAGCATAAACACAAACACTCATTCCTGGCCCAATTAGCTTCGGACTGAAATACCAGGCATGTCCTCAATGGGTCGAGTCATCCTCGGGATGGAATACCCTCGTATTTTGAAAACTTTGTTTAAATACCGAGTCATCTGAGCCTGCTCTAAAGCAGCGAACTCATGAATAAACAAGGCTCTCTCAGTGAACATCTTGGTGATCTCCATCACTGACTCAGACGTCTGTCTCAGATCCAGGTACTCCTGAGCTAGTCTCTCCCTCTCTACCAAGGGAACACACCTCACACGGAACACCTCTGAGAACTGTTCCCAAGCCATCGCGAACCTCTAATCAGGATTATGAGAACTAGTCACCAGTCTCCACTAATTCGTTACCCCCAAACCTAAGAAGGTTCAGGGCACACTTGACCTTCTAGTCATCTACACAAGAACACGTGAAGAAACAACCCTCCAAATCAGACAACCATCTCATCTCCGCAATCGGGTCCGATACCCCCATCAAACTTTGTGGGCTTCGTACGGTCGAAGTCCCGATACTGGAAATCTCTCTCTCCTCAATCCCCCATGGCAGCAATAGTCGCGGTGGCTGCAGCAACAGCAACATCAGAAAGTGTAGCATATCGGTCATCAAAGTACTTCATCATAGTGACCTTTACAGATTCAACTAGCTCCAATATCTGCCCTGGGACAAAAGAAACAACCTCCTCATGAATGATCTCCATGACATGGTTCTCAATCTATGTTAGCTCATCTTGGCCATCTGCTCCTGATTCCTGATCCGAAGCCAACCTCAAATCATCTCGTAATGGATATGCTAAAATAAATAAATAAACAAGGGAGATATCATAAAAAATGCATATAACACTAGGGTAACCTATTTCCCAACAAAACCATAGGGTTTGTGACTTCCCTAATAAGCATACGGGTCCTGTGCTTTCAGTGGTATGGGCCAATACTACCTTCCACACCTACCCGTAGTTGTCTAAGAGGATCATCATAACAACCCTAACAATACACTACACTCTAGCACACTCATGCACTCTGTCCTCACTTCCTAGAGGAAAGCTACCCATATCGTGACTGACCGGCTGACCACACATAACTCATCCTACCATCAACTTCCATGTGACCCGCCATTGGTGACAAATGACTATTGCATGAAAACTATCACATACTACACAACTTAAGCAATTTTAGGTTAAAGGGTTCAATCCTACAACGGTTGGACTCAAACAAGAGTTGTGCAGGAGGACCAAATCCTCCACCCTAAGGCGATTTAACCCATGCAATATGTAACTTAGCGTATTCACTCAATAGTTAGTTCTCATACGAAATACTCGTACAACAATCAATACGGTATTCTACAAGAGATAAGGCATCAAATATCAAACAATTCTATCATACGATTCATGAGGATCCTTATTCTATCACCACCATGTTGTTCTAACATAACATAATATAATCTCAAATAACTGTGGGGTAATTTGGGTTTACTTATTGGCTTTGGCTAATCGTACACATGTCATCCTCCTTGATTATTTTGAAAACTATTTGAAAATTGTTTTAAAAACATTTTTTCTTAGTTTGAGACTGGATTCACACGAGTGCTCCTCCAATTCAATGAAACCAACGCTCTAATACCAACTTGTAACACCCATAAAATTAATGAAAATTTTAAACATTTAAACCAACCAGAAATCATATTTGTTTACAACATAGTTTTCAGGATATGTTTAATATCAAAATTTTACCAAAATCATAACACAAAACATGATGAGGTGCACGATCAAGCCTTCACCTTCCAACGATCATCTGAGGTACCTAAAACATAACCCAAAATTATAAGCCCAAAGCTTAGTGAGTTACCGCCAAATCGGTTACCCTTCGATTTCTATTTATAGGGCTGATTTTATGGATTAACGTCGTGAATCTCAAATATTCACGTTGTGAGTTCAGTCGTCACTGCATGTGTCATCGCAAGTTGCGTCTGTCAGGCTCCAGAAGTCTAAATACTGAGTTCACGTCGTGAACACTGTATTCATGTTGTGAACTCTGACAGTTTTGGAGTTTCGCTCCTCGAACTTCAGAAATTCATAACTTTCGCATACGAACTCCGTTTTTGATGTTCTTTATATGCACACTCTTGGTTGAATGTATTCTATGACTTTCATTTATATCGCTAAGGACAAATATCGCTCTAACATAAATTCACTATTTATGTCGCGCTGTGTCGTGTCGGTTTTGTCGCGAAACTTCGACAGGTCATAACTTCTTCGTTATAACTCGGATTTCGGCGTCCTTTATATATACATAATCCTTGTAACATATACTATAACTTAGTTAAGATTAATCCCTCTAAATAATCTTTCATCAAAAATTCATTTTTGATGTTTATCGTCTCTAAATTGACTAGCCCGGATCTATGGGCATTACAATTATCTCCCCCTTAGGATGATTACGTCCTGGAATCATCAATGAAATAGGACTTGTATAATGATTCCATACATTTTCTCTTCATCCTAGGTAATAATTTTAAGTTCTATGTTTCCTCGAAAGAGTATCTAACTCTTGGACTTCTCGATAGCAGGTAGTGCTCAATGTTGCATTTGCTCTTCGTACTATGTTGTACTTTCAATTGTAACCTTCGAGTTACAAAATAAATCCTTATTGAGGACTCCTTCTTTTTCTTAGGATAAGTACTTTCCTTTATATATTGTAACAGACTGATGGGTCGTGTTCTAATGACCTCTCATCGTATGATGCAACGCTTAGACTCAAGTCTCTTAGAGTCAAATTCCAGAATGGAATATACCTTCCTTCATATTCTAATGTGATCTAATCACATTTTTACATATAGCATTTCTAGCTACAAGCTTCATTAACAACGAGCGCGATGCTATCGATCGCATTGATTTCAATCTTCTGACTTGCGTCAAATGCTACCTCGAACTTGGTTCTATGAACCACGTAACAAACTCATCGTATTCAGACTCAATTTGATATGACTGCTCGGTTCAGAATATCAATCATCTTCTTAGTCACTACCGAAACAAAGATAACGACATACTTGAATAAAACGAGACCAATCACTAGCTTCTTGGTAACCTTGTGACTTTCCCTGATCCAAGTGTGAGTCATGTGCTTCCAGTAGTATAGATCGCTACTACTATTCACACCTACTCATACTCATCCCAAGTATTGTCTCGCAGTCGACCAAGTCACCATACAAGAAAATCATACAACCATTCAACACACCAGATAACAAAACTAGGTTTTATATTATTTTCTTTAAACTATTACACAAAAGTTTGAGTTCACCCTATACTATGCCTCTAATAGGCCACACCATGAGTTACTATTCACACTGCTACTTCATAACTTGATCTTTGGATATAAAATCCTCATCCTTGATTCCTCACGTTTTCATCTGCTTCATCAAGGATCATTTTAAATGCTCTTGCCTTTGGCTTTGGCAGTACATTTGGCTTTGTAATCTCTTCCTTTCTTGGGCAGTTTTGCTTGAAGTGTCCTTCTTCCCCACACTTAAAACAGGCTTCTCTTTTGTTTGTGCATTCGTTGGCATAATGACCAGTCTTCCCGCATTTGAAGCAGATCATTTTTTAGAGCATTTCCCAATGTGCTTCCTCTTGCACTTATCACACCATTGTGCTTCTTCTTCGAACTTCTTCGAACCAGACTTCGAAAATTTCTCTTCTCATCGGACCTTGAGGATCCTTCAAACTTTCTTTTCTCGCCAACTTCAGCTCTCTCCAGACCCTTTTCTTTTAATTGGGTCTCAACATTTTTGGCTGCCCAGATAGCAGCTTTTAGAGTGGTTGCTTGCTTGACTATCGGACCAAAGTCAACTGGTAATCCATTAGCAAACTTGTTGACCTTGGAAAGTTCAGTTGGAAGTAGGTATGGAATAAGCTTCATCTTCTCCATAAAGC